AGCTTATGCACATTGTGAAAATCTTAAGTAGTTTGATTGGGCCTGGTGTTTTCTTGATGGGTATAATTCTGAGTACCGATCCATCTTATTTAATGTTTACTGGGGTTCTTTTTCTGTTTTCTGTTGCTTTGTCAATTTTAGTACTTTGTATTTTTCTAGGAAATTGTCCAGTTTAATTTCAGATTTATGGCATTAAATTGTCTATAGTGATCTCATAATTTAAAAACATCTCTACTATATCTGAGATGGTTTCTTTTTTCCCTGTTTAAAAATTGCATTTTTTTGCCTTCTCTTATTTTCTCCATCAGTCATACCTGAACTTAGTGTGTTTTATTAGCTTTAAATACCAACCAATTATGCTGTTTTTTTTTTTAATTTTTTTTTCAACGTTTTTTTATTTATTTTTGGGACAGAAAGAGACAGAGCATGAATGGGGGAGGGGCAGAGAGAGAGAGGGAGACACAGAATCAGAAACAGGCTCCAGGTTCTGAGCCATCAGCCCAGAGCCCGACGCGGGGCTCGAACCCACGGACCGCGAGATCGTGACCTGGCTGAAGTCGGACGCTTAAACGACTGCACCACCCAGGCGCCCCTATGCTATTAGTTTTAATAAATCTTTTCCAAGAGCTGATTTTAGTTTTTTCTTTGTAATTTTTTATTTGGGTACAACTTCAGACTTCAGAGAAAACTCACAAGGGTAGAATAGTACAGAGAATTCCAGAACACCTTTCATCTAAATTTCTCAAGTATGAACATTTTGCCACATTTGTATGGAGGGAGGTCGAGGGATTTGCGAGCCGATTAAAGAAAAAGATGTCACCGTATGACCAGAAGTGCACGCAAGCTTTACTGAAGCATGCACGTTGGGGAGAGGTCCCTCGCAGCATGAGACCATCCAGAATTTGGGGCCCAGGGCCCACTTCCCAGGAGGGAGGTGGAAAGGATACCCCTGGGTGTCTCTGGGTCAGAGGCACTTGGGGTCTTGGTAGCCACGTGGCGTATTTTATCTATGGCTACCAGATGCTAGCGTATAGTTTCTTGGGGCAGGGAAAGCAGGCAGGTTCCAAACGACTAAAAATCTGTTCGTATTTGGGCTATCTTTAAAATGAATGCATGTGTTAACATCTGAGTTTGGTGCTGCTGGTCTTTTGAGCCAATGGTCTCAGCCTGCCAGGGGCCACTCTGCAGAGGCCATCGCTGGGTCATTTATACAAAACTTGCTGTCTCTCTCCTCTCTCTCTTCCTCTCCCCTTGACAGATATATGTGTGTGTGCAAATACTTGGTGTGCATTTCCCAAAGACAAGGCTCTTCTGTCACACAGCCGCAGGATAATGATCAAAACCAGGAAATTAGCGTTGAGACAATACTGTTGTCTAACCCACGCCTCGTACTCAGCTATCACCTGTTGTCTCCGTAAGACCCTTTCTAGCTAAAGGAGATCTCGGATCATGCATCTGTTCTCCCGTTTTCCTTTGTCGTCTTTTCTCTGGAACAGTACCCCAATCATTCGTGGTCTTTGCTAGCATTGACATTTTTGAGGAGTACAGGCCGGTTATTTTGTGGAACGTTTATCAATGTAGGTCTGACTAATGTTTCACCATGATTAGATTCAGCCTGTGGCAGGCTTTTTCTTTTTTTCACCTGTTCTATTATTTCTTTGGTTTTTCCTTTTTAAAATCTCTGCTCCTACTTGCTTCTTTTGTGTTGCTTGGGTTTACTCTTTGCTGTGTTAGCCTCCTGCGATGAATGTTGTTAATTTTCAGATTTTGTCTAATCTGTATCTTAGGGCTGTGATTTGTTTTAAGTCTGTGTTTGTAACTGTGCACCAGGTTCGATATGTAACATTTTTTGCAGCCATTGTTCTAAATAATTTTGCATTCTTCTTATTTTCTAGTTGTGTTGCTTTTGTGTTGAGAGAGCAGCATCTATGCAATACTGATTTAAATAACTTGTTGAAGTTTATTTTTAGCTTTTTCGGGTCAATTTTTAGCTCCCAGGTGTGCTTAAAAGAAGAATGTATGTTCTCTAATCAAGTACTTTCTTGTGTCTGATCCAGTAGGTCAGGCTTTTAAGTTTTTTCTTAATGTTTGATTTTGAGAGAAAGAGAAAAAAAGATGAGTGGGGGAGGGGCAGAGAGAGAGGGAGACACAGAATCCCAAGCAGGCTCCAGGCTCTGAGCTGTCAGCACAGAGCCTGACGTGGGGCTCAAACTCACGGAGCGTGAGATCATGACCTGAGCCGAAGTCGGACGCTTAACCGACTGAGCCACCCAGGCGCCCCAATAGGTCAGGCTTTTCAATTGTTATTCAGGTGTTGCACACTCTTGGGGCGCCTGGGTGGCTCAGTAGGTTAAGGGTCTGACTTGATTTCACCTCCGGTCACGAGCTCATAGTTTGGCTCAGGTCATGATCTCATAGTTTGTGGGTTCGAATCCCGCATTGGGCTCTGTGCTGACAGGATTCTGTCTCCTCTCTGTGCCCCTCCCCTGCTCACTCTCTATTTCTCTCTCGAAATAATTAAATAGTTTTTTTTTTTTAAATGTTGTATACTCTTACTATTTATTTTTTGTATCCCGAATCCTCTAGGTTCTGTTCATGGCGATGTGGAGTTGTCTGTTTCCCCTCATGGCGTGTGTGTTCCATGTGTTTGAGCTGCACACTCATCACGCTCGTGTGTTGGTACGCACAGACCTAAGATCGAGTGGGCCTCAGCTCCTTGCTTTGTCTCTGCAGTGGGTTGTTGTTTCTGGCTTTTTGTACGTCTCGAAGTTTGATTGTTTAAATGAACACCGGGCCGTGTGTGTGGGAGTAGAGACCCTCTTGCTGTGCGCGGGGCTGGGAGGCAGGACGTGGTGCAGTGAGCCTGGTCGGGCATTGCCGGCGCTGGCATTTGCTGTTGCTGTGGTTACGGTCAGGCCCTCGCTGGCTTCAAGTGTCTCTGCTCTGTGCTTAGGGTGGGCCGGTTCCTGTCCCCCGCTCTGGGACCCGCCTACCCCCTTCGACCTTCTCCTCGTGCTCATGCCCCCGCTTGCTCCTCAGTGCTGCCCAGCCTGGTGGTGGAGGGCCCTGGTCCCCGAGTCTGCCCCTCCCGCTGTGGTAGGAGGCTCTGAGTCTGAGTCGAGGACATATGCCTGTCCCCTTCCCCTGGGACAGGGTGTTCTTCTCCTTCTCCCTGCCAGGTGCCATGGGTCTTAGCTGTGCTCTGGGAGCAGTGGGTTGTGCTGCCCTTCCCTCAGCTGCACAAGGCTTTGTTCCTCCACAGGGGAATTTCTAGGAGGATGGGGCTTCCCTGGGTTTCCCTGCATGGCAGCCACTGCCCTCCTCCAGACCTCACCACCCAGGGGGTCTCTCTGTGGTCTCCCAGCCGTCTACTTTCTCCTGAGCGCCCAGTGGAGAGCCACGGACCAGATTACCACAAATTCAGTGATTGAAAGCTGGGCTGGCTCAGTCGGAAGAGCGCACAACTCTTGATCTTGGGGTCGTGAGTTCGAGCCCCACGTTGGGTGTAGAGATCACTTAAATAAAACTTTAAAATAAAATAAAGTAACACCCGCTGTCACCTCACAGCTCTGCAGGCCACAGTCCAGGGCCTCCCAAGGCCAGAGTCAATGTGGTGGATGGTGGGCCTCTTCCCCGAGCGGCTGGAGGTAGAGTCTGTTCTGGGCTCATTGGCGGAAGTCAGTATCTGGTGGTGTTAGGCCCGAGGCCCCCGATTCCTCGCTTGCTGCCAGCAGAGGTTTTGCTCAGCTTTCGCACGGGATGGCGAAGGATCCTTCTTGTGTTTCGCTCTCTCTGGCTTCCCCTGTGCCCCCATCAGAGGCAAATGTGCTGCTAATGTTTTCACATGAGTCTCACAGTGCCGTCTATTGTTTACAGGTGTTCTTAGTGTCTGTTGCAAAGGCTTAGAGACAGGCCGTGACCAGGCAGCTCAGTCCTGCTGTGGATTCCAGCTCCTTCTAACCCCCAGACGGCCTCCAGGCGGGAGCTGAGCCTCCGGCCACGGTAAGTTCTCAGCAGGAGAGCAGAGCTTTGCCAGTTGGAGTTGACCCCAGTCCTCGAGCCCCAGGCACCCCACCGATAGAATAATTCTTGGAAAGAAGGTGACCCGACAGCAGCAATCTACTTTGGAAGCGGGGCTCCCTCTCTGAGCTCCCTCTCGTAGCTTAGGGATAAAGTTGGAGGTCACAGAACGGGGTGGCTTCCAGAAAGTGTCCCTAAAACAGCTGAGGACGAGCTTGCTGACCGTGAATTTGGGTGATGCCATCGCATTAGGGGATGTGTCTAGGATTTGGTCGAGGGGAAGGTTTGCTAGGAGGAGAGGGGGTTCCCCGCTTTAAGGTTAGGGAAGCACAAACGAGGGAAGGGATCCCCGCAACACTCAGGCGACCCCCGTGCGGATTTCTCTACACTCGGTGCCTTCACTGTCCTTCTCTACTGCCCCCCGGCTCCCCCCCCCCCCCGCCCCTCACTCCACTGCTTGTGAGATGCAGACCGTCCTCATGTAGTCGAGGCACAAAAGTTGCTTTCTTAACCTAAGAGTATTTCATTTTTCCTTCTCATGTTAAAGACGAAAGAAAATGGGCGTGAGAGAGGTGTTCAGAGCCACCCAGCTTACTAGAGGCCGAGCCAGCACTAGCGCCCAGGGCTCCCGTCCGCCAGGGCCTGCCAGGCGGGGGCTTCCTCCTGGGCGCCTCAGTTCATCGCTAAAACCCGCCCCTTCCCACCTTCCACCCCTTCAGACCCTCTCATGGATCTCCTCTCCTCCAGGGGAAGGACTCTGGTAGGAGGTCATGGAGAGAAAACCCAGTAAGATGATATATGTATATTTTTATGAGATACTTAAACAGTGAGCATATGTTTATTGTCTAAAATAAATTAGAAAATGCCACTATTGTAAAAACAAACGAACACATCCTACCATGCAAAGGTCACCAGTGTTAACATTTTGTGTGTTTTGTCCAGAATTTTTTCTTTTTTTTTTTTTTTTACAAAAACCCATTCCATGTGCTGAAATTGATGTAGACAAACAGGCAACAGAGCAAAGTGTCCCAGTGTCCCCTTTGACCACTGTTTTGGACCCACTCTATTGGGTCTGCCTTCTTGCACTTGTTCCCTGGGGTTCCTACAAGGTACCACAAACTGAGCTGCCTAAACAACACACACGTGGTCTCTCTTGACTCCCTTGACCTTAGAAGTGAAGGCGCGGGTGTGGCCCATTCCTTCTGAGGCCCTGATTGGGGGGCCCATTCCCGGCCTCTTTCCCGCCTTCTGGGGCTTTGCTGGCAATCTGTGCCCATTCTTGGTTTCTGCTGCATCACTCCGAGCTCTGCCATCATCCTCCCTGACGTTCTCCCTGTGTGAGTCCCTGGCCCCAGTTTCCCCCTTTTGTAAGGACGCTAGTCCTTCCTCCTGGACTGGGGCCCGTCCTCATGACCACACCGTCACCTGATCATTGACAAAGGCTCTGTTTCTAAAGAAGGTCACATTGGGGCGCCTGGGTGGCTCAGTCGGTTAAGTGTCTGACTTCGGCTCAGGTCATGATCTCGTGGTACACGGGTTCGAGCCCCGCGTCAGGCTCTGTGCTAACAGCTCGGAGCCTGGAGCCTGCTTCCGATTCTGTGTCTCCCTCTCTCTGACCCTCCCCCATTCATGCTCTGTCTCTCTCTGCCTCAAAAATAAGTAAACATTAAAAAAAATTTAAAAAAAAAAAAAAAGGTCACATTCTGAGATATTGACGGCTAGGATCCCCAGCAGATCTTTCTGGGGCACAGAGTTTAGCCCAGAACACTCCGCTGCCAGGATGACATCTCTGGTAACCCAGAGGGGTCCTGTTACTTGAGGCTGTAATAAGGAACAGTCTCTCCTGGCTTGCTGGTGGGCTAGTGAACATCTCACTGCCACATCCGGGTTCTCTCTCTCCCTGTGGATCTGCAGCTCTCCACTTCCTCCCACCCCCCATGGAGGGCCTGTGATCTCTTCTGTCTCTGCTCCTCCTTAACCCTTCCTTCTCCTCATTGGACCACTTCTTTCTCCGCCAGGGGCAGGGGTGGAGAAGGGGAAATGGAAGAGAAGTGACACAAACATTTCCTTGTTGCTTCCGGTAGCTCTCCCCCTGCCCAGCCATCTGTCCTTTATCACGCGGGAGGCCGCGTGATAGCTTTGTCGGGGTGCAGAGCCTGTGACACGAGCAGGGGCTCTCTTCGCAGACCTCTGTGCCCGCTCCTGGCTCAGTGCTCTTGCTTCCCAGGGCTGGCTCTCTGTGTCCCGCAGGCAGCCTGCTTTCTCCCCAGGTTGTTCAGGCTCCCCTAGCTTCCTGCCCCCCACGTGGCCCCGGGGAACGCTGCATCCTTGTTCTAACACAGGCAGGCCGTGCAGGTGTCTCCCATTCCTGCCCCCACCCCCCACCCCCCCACCTGGCCACCACGGTGGCCTCTGCCGGCTTCTCACTTCCAAGAGCTCCCTCCTGCCGTTGGGCTCCCGCATCTGCAAAGCTTCCCCCAGAACGCTTGCGCCCCCCTCTGTTGAACCACCACGTGCCCATGTGTTTCTGTAGCTGGGTATGCGTCCAGCCTGGGGAGCCAGGTTACTCCCCCACTTTTGCCGGCTCAACCGTCCCTCTTGTCTTGGGAGGGGGGTAAAACACCATGTATCTACGTCTTCAGTAGTGCCCCTCCCTGCTCCTTCGCTCTTCCTTATCCGAAGGAAGGTGTCTGTTAGGTTGGGTCTGCCAGCTCCTCCAGAGAATTTGGGGTGTCTGGGAATTGAGCTAAAACTTCAGGTACCCGGGGAAAATACCACCCATCTCTGCCTGTTACCCATCTGTGAGTCATGTGTTTGTGAATTTCATAGCTTCCTTTTTATTTATTTATTTTTTCCCCACTTACTGGTGTTGCCAGAAGCTAGTTCTTACAGATATTCTGTAACAGTTTAAGTTGATTCATAGCATGGCATGCTTTGATTGTGTCATAATTGATTAACCAATCTGTTATTTTTAAGCACTTAGGTAGTCTCCAATTTAAAAACCAAAACCAAAACTCCCTCGGAATTCTTTATGGAGTTTCTGTAATTCTAGAGTTTGAGCGTCTCTGCAGACTTCTTGGACCCAACTCCAGTGTGTGTCTGTCCTGAGTAGGAACATTCCTAAGACCAACCTCGTGTCTGTTCAGGAGAGAGATAGGTGTGGGGTCCCGTTGATGATTCCAGCCACAGTAAACTTGCTCCTGAACCTTCGTGTTCCTGTCCCCTGGCCAAATGAGGAAAGGAGGAGGAGGGCTCAGGAGAAGCCATCAGATCTTGTCCCATGTTTGGTAAGTGGCAGAGCCAGACCGGGACTGCTTCCCGGGCAGAGGCCAGCACAGCCGAGCCAGGGCGGTTCTTCCTGACAGTGAACGTGGACAGGCTGCAGGTGGAACAGAAGCACAGGGGACCCAGCGGGTCCGGGATGGGATTGAGGGCCCCGCCAAGTAGCCCTCAGCTTGTCTCAGCTGAACTCCATTCATTGGACTCTGCCCTTCCAGATCCCATTGTTAGATTTTCCTGTGAGTTGACCCCAGCGTCTACCAGGGGCAGGAGAGGTGACAGAGGTTCGGGTTCGAAGCTTCATAGGCTACAGATATTTAAAAAATAACTTTGGTATACAAAGTACCAGTTTGTCCTAGAAGAGATTAGGAAATTCATCTAAGTACAAAAAAAAAATTGTTCAGTGGTCATTATCTACCTACCTAGGGCTAACTGCTGCTACCTTTTTGCCTTGCATCATCTCAGAGATCTATGTGAGTGTGTGTGTGTGCGCGCGTGTGCGTGTGTGTGTCCGTGTGCATGGGATCAAATAGTCTTCGGCCACCTTTTTTAATTATCCGTATGCTATCCAATAAAACCGTTTTTTCCATGATTTTGTTTTCATTAGCCACATAACGTTTATTTCCCTTTGGAGTAGTGTTTTATTTAACGGGTCCTGTGTAGATGGATATTTCGTTATTTTCTGGTTTTTTTTTTTTTTTCAGAGTTTTAACGAACTATAATAAACACCTTGGCGACTAACTCTTCACCTGAACTCATGATTGTTTCTTCAGAATAAATTTCTATTCAATTTCTGAGTAACGAGTTGAGGGATTAGTAAATTGCACATTGACTATGGAGACAGACATGAGTGCATTAAGTAGGCCAGGAGAATCCAGGTTGAACCCTCGCCAGGTTGGGTCCCCATCACTCTGCAAGGCATGGGCATTATGTGATGTCCTCCGTGGGGGGAGGGGGGGAGGGGAGCCTGTCCTCCCCCAGGCCTGGTGGGGGGTGGCAGCAGTTGATGCAGAGGCCCAGGGCAAGCTTGACCTCTCACATCCTCTCCCCTGCCCTCCCCTCCCCATCTCTGCTTACACAGGTGTCTGCTTTCCCCCGCCCAGCAGGGAAGGACCATGTCCCAGGTGAGTGTGGCATTTCTTTCTACCGCACTATGCTTTCCCGGGGACTTAGGGATGCTTCTAAGAATGCAGCCAATAAAATACTGCAAGCAGAACCCCAAGATCACTGAGGACGCAAGGCGAGTGGAATATGGAGGCCACGGGGAGGGCGGGGCGGATGCGCTGCTGAGGCCGCCACAGTTCTGAGGTGCCCGGTGTCTGCCATTTCTGGCACTTAAAAAAAAAATACATAGTTTTTTAATGTTTATTTTTGAGAGAGAAACAGAGTGTGAGTGGGGAAGGGGCAGAGAGAGAGGGAGACACAGAATCCGAAGCAGGCTCCGGGCTGTCAGCACAGAGCCCAATGCAGGGCTCAAACCCACGAACCGTGAGATCCTGACCTGAGCCGAAGTCAGATGCTCAACTGACAGACACCCAGGCGCCCCTCTGGCACTTTTATTTATTTCTTTTATTAAAAATTTTTTTAATGTTTGTTTAAGAGAGAGAGAAAGCCATCGGGGAGGGCAGAGAGAGGGAGAGACAGACAAGCCAAGCAGGCTCTGCACTGTCAGCACTTAGCCCCACGGGACTCAAACCTCCGAACCATGAGATCATGAGCTGAGCCGAAATCAAGAGTCGGACACAACCGACTGAGCCACACAGGCGCCCCAGACGTTTCCGGCACTTTAAAAAGGTTCCGTCTAACATAGGATTTGTGTTGTCTGCTTGGGACAAGCACGTCCACGTCCTAGGAGAACTAAAGCTGTTTCCAGTATTAAGAAGGTTCCAGGGTCGGCCTTGGGGTGTGAGGTGTCACAGGCAGGGTCCTGTCTAGTGATGACAGTGAAGTGGACACAACAGCGAGTCTGGACTCTCCGTTGGGTGTAAGCAGTGGTCTTACGGCCGTGCAGAATCTGTGATGCTGGTTGTTTCAGGGATCAAAATACTCCGTTCTGCGTAAACTGCCTTGTTCTGTCACACTGACCCAGATGAAACCCTGCATTGTCCAGAAGAACAGACGAGTAGCGTGTTCTTCAAATTATCTTCTGTAATAGTTTTTTGACACAGATGGAGAGCATACAGCCCCGTTTCAGACTTTGGTGGGGGCGGAGAGGGAAGATGGCCAGCGAGCTCTTGGCCTTTTGTCCTGGAGTCTGAGCGTCTTTTCGCCACTCGGACCTCACGCATCTGCCCTTGCCCTGGGCCATCGTTCTCTTTGGACATCAGTGACGTCATTTGCTGCCGGCCTGTCTGCATTCTCAAATTGGACCTACACGGCCCCTCTCTCTACCGTGAGCATGAACGTGAAGTGTGCTGGCCAGAATCCTTCAAGTGACAAGAGCCAGAAACCCAGCTAGAGCTAGTTTAGGGCCAACCCCAAATCTAGGCCACACCTGGCCTGGTACTCAGGGACAGTCACACCTAAGAATGCATGCGTCTCCCAGAGTCTCTCTTGCCCCTTGTCTGTGACTTCCTTCTCTCACACCGACTGCATCATGTGGCCAGAGATAGGCATGGCCCACACCTCTCTTGCGAGGTCTGCCATAGAAAGGGACCAGGTTCTGTATCGTGGAGCCAGTTTGCACAGTCTTTGGGAGAGATGCAGATTTGGGCCAGCTTAGTTCGAGGTTAGGGCTGAGAGGCTGTGTCGGTGGTGGGGCGCTCCCAGGAGCTTGGGGTGCCGGAGGGAGAGAGCTAGCCCCAGAGGAAGATGGGCCTCGTGGACAAACATTACAGCTCTCCACTCCAGGAAGAAAAACATATTCACAGGGTCGTGGTTTCTGGCTTGGGGACCTGTCTTGATGAGAGTGTGCCTAAAAAGCTTGAACCTTCTGGATGTTTGGTACCAGAAACATCTGGGAATAGGACCAGTATGAGAGGTCCGAAACAAGATGGCAGCTCCGTGGCCTCAGAGGAGAGACGTGGGCCGTGACGCGAAGCTGTGAGACCCATATTCAGGGCCCGGGTTTCCTCTGTTCCTCCTAGGGAAATTTGTTCTTTTGTAGGAAACCAATCTTCACCGGGAACTTCTTAGGGTCATCCACAACAAAGATAGTGACAATAAAAGGTCTAGGCTCCACCTGTTGAGCACTTAACATGTCGCCATTTCATGAATACCTGTGAGATGGGTATTATTAACCCCTCTCCCATTTTAGAGATGAACACACACAGGCTGGAGGTATTAAGCAAGCTGCCTGGGATCTTGCATCTATTAGGTGATGGAGTTGGGATGTGAATGCAGACAGACCTAGAACTGGGCCCTCAGTGATGGAGCCACACTGTAGTTTTCTCTGGCCAAAACACACCCCCGGCAGAGAAATTCAGTTGTACCCTCTACAGTACAGACTTGCACTGTCCAATATGGTAGCCACCAGCCACGAGTGGATACTGAACCCTGGTGGCTAGTGTGGCTGGAGAACTGAGTTTCTCATTCACACTTAAATTTGAAAAGGGAATCAGAGGAAAATACTTTCCCATTAAACGCAACTTTATGGGGGCACCTGGGTAGCTTAGTCGGTTAAGCATCGGGCTCTTGATTTCGTCTCAGGTCATGATCTCACGAGTTGTGAGTTTAAGCCCCGCATCTGGCTTTGTGCTGACGGTGGAGCCTGCTTGGGATTCTCTGTCTCTCTCTCTGCCCTTCCACCCCCCCTCAAAATAAATATCAAAATATTAAACACAACTATGTTTTTACAGGACTATATCTCATGAGAGTGAAATTGAAAACATAGTGTCTGAGTTGAGATGTACTGTAAGTGGAAAATACCCACCAGGTTTTGAACATATGGTATGAAAAAGAAGAATGAAAAGTATATCAGCAATTTTAAAATAATTATATATTGAAATGATAATACTCTAGATATATTTGGCTAAAAGATCTTATCTAAATTGTCTCCTTTTTTTCTTAAATGTGACTACTGGAAAATTTTATCTAAGCCACTTTATTGAGGTGTGATTGACCTGCAAAACTGTGTGCTCACAACTCGAGAGGAGTTTAGATAAGTGCACATCTGTGAAACTACCACCACCGACTTAATCCATCACCTCCAAAAGTTTCCTCCAGCCCCCTTTTAAAATATCTGTATTTTTTTTTTCTTTTGTGGTGGGAGCACTTAACGTAAGATATGCTCTCTTAGCAAATTTCTAAGGGTGCAGCGCAACGTGGCTCATTGTGACACTATGCTGTGCAGTGTATCTTCAGAACTTACTCTGCTTCCGTAACGAACACTGAACCTCTGACTAGCGCCTCCCCCTTTCCCTGCCCCTCCCAGTCCTTGGTAACCACCGGTTCTAGGAGTTGACCACTTGAGAATCCTCATAAAAGTGGGCTCACACGGTATTTGTCCTCCCATGGCTGGCATATTTCACTCAGCATATGTCAGGTTCACCTGCTTGTCGCAAATGAAGGGACTTCCTTCTCTCTCCTGGCTGAGTAATGTTCCGTGCTGTGTGTCCACCACACGATCCGTTCGCCCACGGCTGGACACTTCGGTTGTTTCCATCTCTTGGCTCCTGTGCATCATGCTGCGAGGAGCACGAGAATGCACATATCACGTTGAGACCCGCATTCAGTAAGATCACGTCGTCTTCGAACAGAGATACGTTTATTTCTTCCTTCCTGATTCCAATGTGTTTTATTTCTTTTTCTCGCCGGATTGCTCTGGCCGGACTTCCAGTACTGTGTTGAATAGGAGAGGCAAGAATGGGCCTCCTTGCCTTGTTCCAGATCAAGGAAAGCTTTAGAGGGAAAGCTTTCACCACTGAGTATGATGTTAGCTGTGGGCTTTTCATAAATGGCCTTTATTGTGTTGAGGTAAGTTCCTTCCATTCTTGGTTTGTTGTGAGCTTTTAATCTTTAAAGGGCACTGAAGTTTGTCAAATTTTTTTTGTGTGTGTGCAGCTGTTGAGCGGATTATGTCATTTTTATCCTTTATTGCGTTAACGTGGTGTCTCGTATGGATTATCATATGTTGAACCATCCTCGCATCCCAGGGATAAGTCTTACTTGGTCGTGGTGTCTGATGCTTCTCATGTGCTGTTGGGTTTGATGTGCTAAGACTACCTTGAGGATTTTTGCACCTGCGTTTACCAGGGATCCTGGCCTGTAGTTTCCTTTCTGTGTGGTGTCTTTAGTTTTGGTATCATGGTGATGCTGGTCTCGTAGAATGAATTTGGAAGTATTCCCTCTTTTTCTGTTTTTTTGGGGGGGGTATTTAAGAAGGATTGGTAGTAATCTTTAAATTTTCAGTAGAATTTGCCCATAAAGGTCCTGGGCTTTTCTTTATTTGGAGCTTTTTGGTGACTTCTTCATTCTCTTTGTTAGTGCTGTGCTCAGGCTTTCTATCAATTCAGTATCGGTAGGTTGTTTTTTTTATATTTTATTGTATTTAAAAAAATTTTTTTTCTTTAACATTTATTTGTTATTGAGAGACAGACACAGAGCGTGGGCAGGGGCGGGGTAGAGAGAGAAGGAGACACAGAATCTGAAGTAGGCTCCAAGCTCTGAGCTGTCAGCACAGAGCTCCACACGGGGCTCACACTCAAAAACTGCGAGATCATGACCTGAGCTGAAGTCGGTCACTTAACCAACTGAGCCACCCACGTGCCCCATATTTTTTAATTTTTTAAAAATGTTTTATTTATTCTTGAGAGAGAGAGGCAGACACAATCCCAAGTAGGCTCCAGGCTCTAGGCTGTCGGCACAGGGCCCAACACAGGGCTTGAACTCACAAGCTGTGAGATCATGACCTGAGCCAAAGCCGGACGCCCAACCGACTGAGCCACCCAGGTGCCCCAGGTTTTTTTTTGTTTTTGTTTTTGTTTTTAGAATTGTGTTCATTTCTTCTAGGTTGTCCAATGAGTTGGCATTGAACTGTCTATAATAGCTATTATCCTTTTGATTTCTGTGACATCTGCTATAATGTCTCCTCTTTCATTTCTGATTTTATTTAGTCTTTTTTTTTTCTTAGTCTAGCTAAGGGTTTTTCAATTTTATTTCAAAAAACCAGCTCTTAGTTTCATTTTTTCTATTGTTTTTCTATTCTGTTTCATTTATTTCTGTTCTAATTTTTATTATTTCCCTCTGCCAACTTGGGGTTTAGCTTTTCTTTTTCTAGAGGTGCAAAGTTAGGTTGTTTGAGATCCTTCCTTTTTGAATGTAGATGTTTGTTTCTATAAACGTCCTTCTTAGTGCTGCTGTTGTGGTATCCTGTAGGTTTCAATCTGTTGTGTTTTCATCTGTCTTAAGATATTTTATAGTTTCCCTTTTGATTTCTGTGACCCAGCAGTGTTTAAGAATGTGGTAATTTCCAGTATTTAAAAATTTTCCCCTTTTCTGTTGATTTCTAGTTTCATTTCATTGTGATTGGAAAAGATACTTAGAATGATTTCAGTCTTAATGTTAAGACTTGTTTTGTTAGCTAGCCTATGATCCACCCTGGAGAATGTTGTGTGTGCTCTTGACAAGAATGAGTATTCTGTTGCTAGTGGGTAGAATGTTCTGTAAATATCTTCGAGGCCTATTTGATCTGTAGTGTTGTTCACTTCTGAAGGTTTTGTTTTTACTGATTTTCTGTCTGGATGACTATTGAGAGTGGGTATATAAGTCTCTTACTGTTATTTCATTGCTGTTTCTCCCTTCTGATTGGTCAATGTGTGCTTTATATATTTAGGTCCTTTTGATGTTGGGTGCATATGTATTTAAAACTGTTATATCTTGTTGAAGGGACCATTCTGAAGTTATAGAAGGACTTTGTCTCTCATGACAGTATGTGATTTTAAGGCTGTTTTGTCTGTTTTAAGTATTGCCAGACCAGCTCTCTTCTGATTACCATTGTACGGCATGGGATATCTTTACCTTGTTGCTTTCACCTACTGTATGTCCTGAAATCTAAAGTGAATGTCTTGTAGACAGAAGTTGGTTGGTTGGTTCCCTTTTTGTTAGGGAAGTTGAGTTCATTTACGTCTAAAGTAATTATTGCTAGGTAAAGACTTATATTGCCACTTGGTTAATGGTTTTCTCTTTGGTAGTTTTTTTTTGTTCCTTTCCCTTACTCTTTTTTTTTTTCCAACATTTATTTATTTTTGGGACAGAGAGAGACAGAGCATGAACGGGGGAGGGGCAGAGAGAGAGGGAGACACAGAATCGGAAACAGGCTCCAGGCTCTGAGCCATCAGCCCAGAGCCCGACGCGGGGCTCGAACTCACGGACCGCGAGATCGTGACCTGGCTGAAGTCGGACGCTTAACCGACTGCGCCACCCAGGCGCCCCTCTCTTACTCTTTTATCTTTATTGTGGTTTGAGGATTTCTTATAGTGATAGGTTTTGATTCTTTCCTTTTTATTTTTGTGCGTTATAGATTTTTTTTGTCGCTACCATGAGGCTTACATTGAATATTTTTACAGTTCTAGAAGTCTCTCCTAACCTGATAACTTCAGTCGTATGTGGAAACTCTATACTTTCTCACACACTCATACTTTGATATTTATGTCAGATTTTATTTCCTTTTATATTGCTTTTCCATTAATAAATCTGTGATTATAGTTGTACTTTTGCCTTTTAACTTCCATACTTCTGTTAAAAATGATTTACACAGTATTACAGTATTCAGTGTAAATTAATTTGTTGTTTTTTGGTCCTTAGTTCATCCAGAGAGAAGATGAAGGACAAGGGGAAGGAGAGCCAAGCCCTGTTCTGTATTTGTGGAATCCTTTCTGTCCTTTCCTCTTGGTGCTCCCTTAATTTTGACCATGTCTTTGCTTATAATTGTGCCCTAATTTTATTTATTCGTTCCCTCCTGGTGATTTCCCACCTTTTTCTACATAGCTCATCTTTTGTCCCTCCCCTCCCTAAAACTCCATCATAGGCATCCACATTGCCCTGTGATTTGTGCATTTGTGCACATGTGCTGTCTCTCTCTCTCTCTCTCACACACACACACACACACATCCATGCAGTATATTCTGTATTGTCGCTCCCAAGTATTTGCAGTGTCTACCAGATTTTTCTGTGACTCCTTGCCCTCGCTAATGCCGTGCCTCTTGGACACACGGTTTATCTTTCAAGATCATTCTCCAGGGCAGCCTCCAGTGAGGCTTCACTTGACGTCAGGACCTTGAACACGACTGCTGTCTTTGTGTCTGCTCCTTCTGTAATATACTTCCATTGCAGCCTGAGGTGTGATCGCACCACACAGAAGTCTTCTGTCCATCTCGCTCCAGCAGGGCTCCAGGTGCCTGTAGAACAGGAGTAATACTGTGTTCTGCTTCCTGCCCCTCCCACCCCCCCCTCCCCGCAGCCCCAGGCGGAATACCGTCAACATACCAAATAGTCTGTAGATGCTTGCACGCCGAATGAATGGACGAATGAATGAATGCAGATCCAGGAGTGAGATCTTTTCTTAGGATCTTTTCTTTTCTGTCCCTGGAAATGTAGCACAGAGTTAGGGGCATGCCAAGCTCCCTAAATCACTTACTGTGGGGCAGTCCAAAGGCGCTAAGAGCCCTCGCCTCTGAGCCTTGGCCGCAGAACTCTGCCAAGTATTTCAGGTTCATCGGGCACGTGTCATTCCAGGGCTCATTGTCATTCCGAGACGTGGCTGTGGGGTTCACCCGTAAGGAATGGCAGCATCTGGACCCCGCTCAGAGGACGCTGTACCGGGATGTGATGCTCGAGAATTACAGCCACCTGGTCTCAGTAGGTGAGGAAGGCTTCCTGCATTTCCCGATGAATGTCTCTTCTCAGTTATGTAAAACCTCTGAAATGTTTGGCCTTGGGTGTCCGTTGTCTGCAAGGCTTCCTGTCATCCCACTTGCGTTATTCGTGAATTCACCTCCTGTGTGAAATAATCCATTCTCTGGCCGACATGTAAGAGGGCGTCATGTCCCCTGCTTCCTTGGATGGCCCAGGCGGCTCAGCATAAGTCCTGTGACTTGTTCTCACAAACAGGGTGTCAGGTCACGAAACCGGCTGTGATCTCCAGGTTGGAGCGAGGCCAAGAACCGTGGATGGAGGAGGAAGAACTCGTCAGATGGAGCTTTCCAGGTGAGAGGGGGGCAACGGACACACACTGGGCTGCAGAGCAAACTCTCCTGTGTTTGTTTCAGGCAATTGTTCTCAAAAGCCTTGGATCTTTGCAAGTAGCTGTGGATATTTGGTCCAAGGCCTTGAGATGCCCACATGACTCCTGCTACCTCCGCACATCCCACCGCCCGACAGGATTCCTCCTCTTTCCCTGGCCTTTAGAGAGAGGCATATTCTGCTTTCATTCTTTCGTTCCACCCTGCCGTCCCCATCTGAGACCTTGCTTGCTCAGTTTTTCTCTAGAATCTTCAGTCTTAACACTTACCCCATGGTTATGAAACAGGCTTTCTCATGTTTTCAGGGATTTGTAGATTCCCGCTATTAAAATTTTTTTTATTTTTGAGAGATACAGAGACAGCACGAATGGGGGAGGGGCAGAGAGAGAGAGGGATTCATAGAATCTGAAGCAGGCTCCAGGCTCCGAGCTGTCAGCACAGAGCCCGACGCGGGGCTCAAACTCACGAACTACGAGATCGTGACCGGAGTTGAAGGTGGATGCTTAACTGACGGAGCTGCCCAGGCGCCCCTCCCCCTATTTTAAAATAACTTATTTTGTGCCACTCATTTTTGTCTTTTCTTTTACTGTGAAATGCCTCAGAAACTTTCTTGCTCCCTTTTATATGACTTTAGATTCCTCTTCTTTCCTATGAAATATGGCCCCATTTTGCTTAATGGGATATGAATGGCACTCCCCCCACATGCATCCTAGTAGAATCCCACGGTGGATACGGACTCCCTCTTTCTTTCAGGACAGGGGCTTTTTATCAAGCTTTTGTTCAGGGCACACCAGAAATCAGCTGGGGGCTTTAGAAATACCACCTGCCTGGGTCTCAGCCCAGAAAATCCTCATGGGGAAGATTAGTAGGCATTGATTCTGTCCCTTAGGAATTCAGCACTGGGGCTCAAGGAATTTCCACATTTCTAAACCAAGAAGCTCTGTGGTTGCACTGGGTGTGGGTTTCATGGAGGTGAAACCACGGATAGTTGATGATTTAAAATGTAAGGGAACCGGGGCACCTGGGTGGCTCAGTGGGTTAACTGTCCAACTTTGACTCAGGTCATGATCTCATGGCTCAGGAGTTCAAGCCCCGCATCGGACTCTGTACTGACAGGTTGGAGCCTGGAACCTGCTTCAGATTCTGTGTCTCCCTCTCTCTCTGCCCCTCCCCCCACTTGCACTATCTCTCTCTCTCAAAAATAAACATAAAAAAAATAATAAAATGTAGGGAAGGGGCACTTGGGTGGCTCAAAGAATGGAACTCTTGGTATTAGCTCAGGTCTTAATCTCAGGGCCATGAGTTCAAGCCCCACGTTGGGCTCCCCTCTGGGTGTGAAGCCTACTTAAAAAGAAAAAAGAAAAAAACCTAAATGAAGACAAAACCAAATGAGGATCTAAGCACAGGATTCAGAACCCAACATTTAAGAATCTCAGAGGAGGGGCCACAGTGATGTGGATACCAACATGCCCGAGGAATGGTGCTGTGGGGAGGCTGGTCTGTGGCCAAGTCCATCAGACATCTGGGACGTATCTCATTTTTTCCTTTCAAAAGCCAATGGATGAGGGTATGTTTATAGATTTATAACTGTGGTGATTGAATCTGGGCACTTAGGTCTGAAATTTATTCTTCCTCCTGTTTCGGATATAATTTTATTTTTTTGCTGGGGGGGGGGCCTGGGGGGCTTAGTCTGTTAAGCATCCAACTTCGGCTCAGTTCCTGATCTTGTAGCTTGTGGGTTCAAGCCCCGCAGCAGGCACTCTCCTGTCAGCCTCGAGCCTGGTTTTGATCTGTTTTCCTCTCTTTTTGCCTCTCCCACAGTTCTCTCTCTCTCTCTCTCAGAATAAAATTCAAAGTAAATAACATTAGGGACACCTGGGTGGCTTAGTCGGTTCAGTGTCCAACTTCGGCTCAGGTCATGATCGCACGGTTCACAGGTTCAAGCCCCATGTCAGTCTATGTGCTGGCTGCTCAGAGCCCGGAGCCTTCTTCAAATTCTATGTCTTCCTCTCTCCCCACCCCTGCCCGCTTGTACTCGGGCTCTTAAAAATAAACACTAATAAGATTATTTTTAAAATTTTATTGGGGGGGGGTATAGGCAGAGAGAGAGAGAGAGAGAGAGAGAACACGTGAATCCCAAGCAGAAGAGTGCAGAGCCCGATGCGGAGCTTGCATTCACCAACCCCTGAGATCACAACCTGAGTGGAAACCAAGAACCAGATGCTTTACCCACTGGGCCACCCAGCTGCTCCCTGATATCATTTCATTCTGTGGCACGATTCTGGAAACACAAACCCATTCAGGTCATGGTATTTTTTTGCCCCTAGAAGCAATTTTGCAAGTCGACTGTCACGCAGGCAGACCACGGGAGCACCGAGCCACACTTCTGCGGAGCGGCGCCTTCCTGGACGGCCGGGAACCGACGGAGAGAGGGCCCCGGGCCTCGGTCCGCCAGAAGGCAGACCTTGATCCCTCACAACGGCAGGGGTGCGCCTGTGACTCGTGTGGCGCGAGTCTGCCGCGTCACGGAGACGGTAGTCCCACCGCCTACCTGGCCAGGAGGCGCTTCGAGTGCGACCAGCAGGGGAACGTGTTCCTCTACTCCAGGCCCGACGGCCCGGCTCCGGGCGCGCAGCCGCGGCAGTGGCAGTGTGAGCGGTGCGGGTGGCCGGGAGGCCGGGCCCGCCGCGGGGAGCCCTTCCCGTGCGAGGTGGCCGTGCGCGCCGATCCGCGGCTGCACGCGGGCCCCGCGGCCCCCGAGGCCGGCCTCTCCAGCCGCCTGGGCTGCCAAGAGCCGCCCGGCGGCCCCGCGCCGCCCCCGGGGTCCGGCCCATCGCTGCCCGCTGCCCTTCTGGCCGGGGGGAAGCCCTACAAGTGCTCCGAGTGCGACAAGACCTTCTCGCACAAGTCCCGCCTCGTCGAGCACCACCGCTCGCACACGGGCGAGAAGCCGTACGGCTGCGGCCAGTGCGGCAAGGCCTTCTCCCGCAAGTCGTGCCTCCTCATCCACCACCGCATCCACACCGGCGAGAAGCCGTTCGGCTGCGGCGAGTGCGGCAAGGCCTTCTTCCAGAAGTCGCACCTCATCCTGCACCGGCGGACCCACACGGGCGAGAGGCCCTACGAGTGTGGTGAGTGCGGGAAGGCCTTCTCGCAGAACTCCTGCCTCATCATCCACAGGAGGACCCACATGGGCAAGAAGCCGTACGAGTGCTCTGAGTGCGGCAAGACCTTCTCCCAGAAGGCCAACCTCATCCGCCACCACGGGATCCACACCCGGGAGAAACTGCACGGCTGACGGGCACAGCCGCCGTGGGCCTCCCTCCCGCGTCCCCGCGCGTCTGGGAACGCGAGGACAAACCTCCGCGTGTCCCCCGCGCGCACCACCCTTCAGTGGGAAATCCGGTGCCCCCGCGGGAAGAGAGCACGACCGAGGGGAAGCCCCTCCCTCGACCGTAGCGAGGGGAGGGTGAGGACACTCTAGAGCCACCTGTTTTTACAAGAGCTGCCTCCTGACAGAGGGGATCGCTGTGAATTCACTCTGGTCGTTGAGCTTTCGATTCTGTAAATAAATGTAATCATTTAAGACAACAGCTGTGAGCAACATGGGAACAGCCCCTGGGACGGGGGCATTTAGGGGTTGTGTTCCCAACGATGCTGCATAGAAGGAATTTTACTTATTTGTCAACCGCAGTGGTAATCCAACAGAATTGTGAGCCTGGAGGCACAGCCACCAGACTGTAGAGAATGACCTCTATGGAGCCCCCGCACTAAATCCTACCCTTTGGTCGCTGTAGGGTATGTTAAACCAGGAGTCCGTGCACCGTACCACTTACCATTTGTCCCTTTGTTTGCTGGCAACTGTTACAGAGCCCCCAACCCCCGCCACCCCAGATCTGGAAACTGGTGCTTTCGTGACCTCTCCTCCTAGCTCTCAACCAGTTCCTAAGTAGGTTTCATGTTAAATGTGTCAAGTTAGGACTCCCTTTTCTGGCAACATGACAGACCGTGTAAAGTGAAAGCCCTTCCACTGTGAATGGCCAGAAATGATGACCAATGATAGATTACATGCTTTTACATACATAATTCAGCTGGCAACCGGGGAAGTTTCCAGGCGCCAGCGAGAGACGCCGAGCTGAGGGCCAAAAATTAAGTTCGAGAGCCAACCGTGGGTTTAACTTGGTTGACCCAGAAGCCTGGGTTGTTGAAGACTGAAGGAGGGTGCGAAGGTAGGCCTCGGGCACATGAGGCAGAGAGCTGGTAATGAAGTAACTCACAAATTCAGAAATTTCAGAAGCCTGGACATACAGGGAAGGGGTGGACTGGCGAAGAATCTCATTGGCACACGGAGCTTGTCCGTATGTCTGTGGGCTCCGATGGGGGAGGATTTGCCCTGACCAGCATCCCACATGAGACAGAATTTGCAATTTGCCCTATTGCTGTCCTAGTTCAAAAACTGAACCGTTACTATAGAAAATTTGTCCTGGCCTTTGAGACAAATTATGGAAGCAAACAAAACATGTTGTGGAGGAAGGCGCCCTCAACCCATGTTTGCCAGGATTCTGACATACAAACCCAAGATGAGTTCATAATCCCAAACTACAGAACACAAGGAACCAACCCACAGTGAAAGGCAACAGGCAATTTGAACTAAATACGAACGTCCCGGATTTTAAGGGTCATAGGAACCTACAAAACTCCATGAGCTCTGTTGTATGGAAACCAATTTGACAAATTAGATATCATATGAAAAAACAGCTGTCTTCACAAACCATTAAAAACGAAAACACCACATGAAAGCGAGGCACAAAGAGCGAGCACTGGCTTCTTTCGAAAGGGGACCACCCTGAGTGTCTAGAGTTGACAGATACAGGCACTGAAATGTGAAGCTACACCAAAATAATGAGCCAACAACCCAGCCGGTGCTAACTCGGCTGCCGAGAAGGCGAGCAGAAAGTAGAGCGAAGCAGATTCTTAGGATTCAGTCTACAGAGAGGCGGGAAATGTACACGAAAGGGGGAGACATCTGGATGAAAATCAGAGCAAACAGGAGTTCCTAAAAGACAAAATAGTGGAAGAAAAGGACATTCCAAGAGAAAAAGCGGCTCAGGTTTGACAAGACCGGAGATCACCGATTCGGGCAGCACAGTGGACAGGTAGGAAATTCACGTCTTAGAGCTGGCTAAGCTGTTCCGGGGTGTCCCTGCTCCACACCCGGTTGGCGTGGCCGAGGGATCTGCAGGGACAGGACACTGACACCCGCCTAGATTGCAGCCGTGGAGCCACAAGCGACCGCGAGGGCCCATCGTGGCTTCTCCCGCGTCCCTGCGAGCCGCCGTCTCCCCTGCTTGCCTGTCTGCCTCACGCTCTCCTCGGCTGAGACCCTGTGGAGGTTACCTAACCCCCTCGCTGCTGCTTTGAATTAACCAGTGTGGTCCCAGCCCACCATCTCTATTATAAAGTCACGTGCCCCGGGTTCAATCTCTGTCTGCCTTCTACCTGGACACCCCGTGTGGCCCCTCGAGGCCTGCTGTGTACTTCCCGCGGGTCCTGCAGATAATAAACTCCGCCATTTCAGTCTCTCTCCTGGCCTGTTGTCGCACCCGCTGACCACCGGCACCTGTGGTCCTCTTAGCAAACGTTAGTTCAGCAGAGTCCTGACCGTCAGCCGCAGGATCAGGGCGGTAGAGTCGTGCTGGTAGCCGGCTGCCGGGGAGCCTTGGAGCTGCGAAGGGCAGGCTAACCGGCTCTCCCCGGTGGGCAATTAGTTGGTGGGCGCAGCTTTGACCTTGGCCACTGCCCGTCCCAAAGTGCAAGCTGGGGAAGAAGCGACCCGAGTCCTCCAGGGCCTCGGGGCATCGCCCTGGGAGCTGGTTTGCGGTGCACCTGTTCACGCCCCGAGGAGGATGCCTGTCCCCGCTTCCCCACCTGGCCGTGGCTCTCAGGTCCTGTTGCATTGGTTATCGGCCAGGACACGGGTGGCCACCCCGCCCAAGTGCAGGCTGTGATAGGGGGACAGAGAGACACCCCGTCCCTGACGGCTGTGCTTGCGGGTGGCACGGGGAGGTGGACTCCTAGTCCCGTCTGGTGACAAACGGCACCCTCACTCGGGGAAGGCACGGATCCCGGCAAAGGTCGGTGTGGCCGGGGCCTGCGGTCCCTCTGTGGCTGCACACCTTTCTGCTGTCACACGACCCTGTGGGATATTACGGGTCCCACCCCTGGCACACGGTGGCACAGGATCTAGTGGTCTGATGCAAATGGTCCGAGCGCCACCTATAAGGCCGGAGGAAGTTAGCAAGTTCATCGCTCAAGTGAAAGCCCACAGAAGTGGCCGCGGGCCGGTCAGCCTGCAGAGCAGTAACCTGCCAGAGCTCTGGGTCCGGCCCTCGAGGGCTAGGGGTCCGCCCGTGACCTGCCACCGTCACTGTTTTGGAGAGGCCGGGCAGGACACCCCCGAGATGGACCTGGCCCTGGGGGACAGCCACTGCAGATCTTTCCAGCAACAATCTTTAAGGTCAGATCAGTGGCAGATAATAGAGCATCTGAAACTGCCAACTGTGGCGCGTTTGGAAGCTGCCAAGAGAGTAAATCTTCAAAGTTCTCATCACAAGGAAGAAAATGCAACCGGGAGTTGCTGATGCTAACTAAAAGGGGTGATCATTTCACAACATACGCATCTATCAAATCGTCGTGTTGTGCACCTGCAACTAACGTTAGCTGCCGATTACACCTCAATAAATAAATGAAAAAAAGAAACCCAAACTCAGTTTCACGCATCTCAAGATTCACAATATTCTCAAAGACTTTGTGCAGCAGGAGGGATTAGGAGGGGCGGCCGGCTGAGAAGCTGTTCACACGGGCTCTGAGCTGCTGCCCACCCCACACGTGGGGCACATGACCTTTCACGGGGACCCGGGGACCGGCAGCAGACACAGGTGCCTTGAGGGAAAGGTAACCACCTCAGGCTCCCGATCAACCACGAGCGATTTTGCCCGAGGGAGGCCCGGCATCTAATCAGATGGTTGTGGTTCCCACTCGATCCGCACAGCCTGAGTAACAGGATGGCTGGCGGACCCCCGGGGCCTAACCCCAGCTCCAGAGGGGTACTGGAGCAGAACCAGCCCGGCGCAGGACCACAGGTGGCTGAGCACCGGGTGTCGGCAGACCCCGCCTGCGGGGCGCCTGGGTGGCTCCGTTGCTTAAACGTCCGACTGTTAATTTCAGCTCAGGTGATGACCTCACGGTTCGTGGGGTGGAGCCTTGCGTCGAGCTCTGTGCTGGTGGGGTGGAACCTGCTTGGGATTCTCGCTCTTTCTCCCTCTCAAAATAAATAATTAACTTACATCAAAATAAACTTAAAAAAAGAAAAGCCATCTGCAAGCATCTCTGAGGATCCAGGGCCTTTTCCCTGCCCAATCAGGACGGTCAAGTTTTCTGAACGCAGCTAGTGTGCTCAGTTACAAGCCTGCTGCTCCCGAGGCTACTTGCGTTGGTAAACTGGGCCCAAGAATTGCCAGCTGAGGTTTACAGCCAGCTCTGACAGACCCCAGACCAGACCCCAGAAGACGCGGTCCTACCGCTTTCTGCCCTTGGACTCCAGAGCTATGCCCCTGGGCCTATAGCCCTTAAGCGAGACGCCCACACAGCCCAGAGCTTGTCTATGGTTTATTCCTCCATCCGGTATTTACTAAGAACTGCCAAGTTCATAGGGTCTGAGACCTGGCTTTAAAGAGTTCACAGTATAATTGAGTGGTAAGTGAAGGAGATGTTTAAATTATATTTTAGACTGCCAGTTTATTTTTAATTTTTTTTTTTTTTAATTAGAGAGGGTATGAGCAGGGGAGAGGCAGAGAGAGAGAGATCCCGAGCAGGCTCCTTGCTGTCCGTGAAGAGCCTTGACTTGGGGCTCGAACTCACAAACCGGGAGATCACGACCTGAGGCGAAGTCAAGAGTTGGACACTCAACTGACTGACCTGCCCAGGCGCCCCTAGAGTGACAGCAGTTGTGATTGAGGGGGGGACGGAGAGGGGGGCTGTCTTAGCGTGCTGCACAGACTAGGGGGCTTCTGAACAACGGACATTGCTCACCAGACCGGAGGCCGGAAACTCCAGGATCGAGGTGCTGGCAGATTTCGTGTCTGTTGAGCACCCACCTCCTGTTTGCAAACAGCTGCTTCCTCGCCGTGGCCTCACCCGGTGGAAGGTGAGAGGGAACGTTCTGGAGCCTCCTTTATAAAGGCACTAATCCTGTTAACAAGGGCTCCACCCTCATCACCTAATTACCTCTAGAGGCCCCACCCCTAAGCCCGGCTCCCGGTGATTAGGTTTCCACATGATGCATTTAAAGGGGGAGGGGGAGGACAAAAACATTCTCGCTACAGCGGTATTTGGGTTGATCACTGAACAACACGAGGCATTTTCACACGTGGAATGCGGAACGAGAGGAAGTGTGCACCGGGGGCATAAGGCAGCGTGAGCAAAGGCAACGCCGAAGGCGTGGCTCGCTGCGCAAACAGGAGAACAGCTGTAGCTCATTTTAAATACAAGGAGGTGCACAGATCTGATGTTTTGAACACCTACCTACCGATGTAATTACCACGCAGATCGAGATCTAGAACATCTCCAGTGCCCAGACCATCCCCCTGTGCCTGTGCCAACCCAGATCCTTCTCCCAGGGAACCACTATCATATCAACCAACACAGATTAGTCTGTCATTGGCCTTTTACGTACAGGGAGGCATTCGGTTTGCGCTGTCTTGCTGCTTTTTTTTTTTTTTTTCTTCCCAAATGTTTATTTTTGAGAGAGACAGAGCATGAGCGGAGGGACAGAAAGTGAGGGAGACACAGAATCCAAAGCAGGTTCCAGGCTCTGGGCTGTCAGGGCAGAGCCCCGTGTGGGGCTTGAACCTACGAACCTCGAGATCATGTCCTGAGCCAAAGTCAGACCGACTGAGCCCCCCAGGCGTCCCCATCCCATGACTCTGCCACCAGTCGTTTGCGTCTATTCCATGTTCGTGAACATTTGCATGATTTTCAGTTGTGTGTTATAAGTTAAGGAACCATAAACTTGTACCTTAGCACTCGTTTCTCTTCAAAAGGTACCGTGTGGTCAGAATTTAGAGCAGCTGTTCTCAACCAAGGCTGATTGCGTCCTCCCCCCGCCCTCCGGCAATGTCCAATGACATTGTTTATTATCTCAACTGGGGGGGGGGTGGTGTGCAAGTGGCATCTACCGGGTAGAGACAAGGGGTGGCTGCTGAATATTCTCCAGTGCACGGCCACCAGCGAGAACCGTTCAGCTTGAAATGTCCACAGCAGCCAAAGAACTAGGCTCAAGTCCGATTTTGGAGTCCTTGTGACGCTGGGCTCGGGTTTGTGTCCAGCAGGTCTTGGGGAGCCACAGACGGCTCTGGGATGGTGAGGTTCCCCTCAGTGGGGGAGATCTCAGGTCAGACGCCGTCTGGCACGCAGCATTAGCTGACCTCGGCCCGGACGACGTTCCCTGACGTCCTGCCGCCGACCACCCGCCACAGGGCACCCTGCACGTCCCGGTTGCGCAGCGCGTAGATGGCAGGGTAGAGCAACGGCGTGAGGTTGATGTAGACGAGCGACATCAGCTTGTCCTCCTCGAGGGAGCGGCTGCTCAGGGGTCTGGCGTACATGGCCGTGGCACAGCCATAGTGGAGCACGGCCACGGTGAGATGCGACGCCACCGTGTTGAAGGCCTTGCGGCGGCCTGCCACCCCCCCAACTCCCAGGATGACCGCCAGCACCCTGGTGTAGGACAGCAGGATCAGGACCAGAGGCAGCACCAGCAGCAGCAGGCAGGCGGCCAGCAGGACCCTCTCCTGCAGGTCCCGGTCCCCACAGGCCAGCACCAACACGGCCGGGAGGTCACAGAAGACGTGGTTGACGAGGCCCCCCCGGCAGAAGGGCAGCTGGAAGATGGCCACGGTGAGGCCCAAGGCCAGGAGAGAGCCCCCAACGCAGCAGGAGGCGAGAAGGCACCGGCAGCGCCCCGCGGTCATGAGCCGGGGGTACCAGAGAGGGCGGCAGATGGCCAGGTAGCGGTCCAGCGCCATGGCGGCCAGCAGCAGGCACTCGGAGCCTCCCAGCGCCACGAAGAGACCCATCTGGGCAGCACAGGTGGAGCGGGCCACCGCCTGGCCCCCCGGGGGCAGCAGGAAGCCCGCGAGCATGCGCGGAGTCAGCACCAGCGTGTAGGCCACCTCCACGGCCGACAGCGCCCCCAGAAAGAAGTACATGGGAGTGTGCAGGGCGGGGTCCCCGACGGCCAGGCCCAGGATGAGCAGGTTTCCCACCAGCGTGGCCAGGTAGAGTGGCAGCAGGAAGGCAAAGAGCAGCAGCCGCAGCCCCCGGGGCCACCCGGAGAAACCCAGGATCACGAACTCCCGCGGAGCCGTCCGGTTTGACCCAGGCCAGGGGCTCATGTCGGAACCTGAGGGAGGACAGGGGTGCAGGCCAGAGAGGAGGGTCGCGGTGACACACCCCCTCCCAGAAACACAGGGCCCTCGCCTCTCCAGGGTTCAGCCCCCACACCCCCTCCACCAGGGACGCGGGGCGTTCTCCCCAAGCCGGCACCTGTCGCCCCCGTGAGTCCTCCAGGAATGCAGGTGTCTGCAGCCACCGTCCGCTCTCCCTCTGGCTTCCGCGGCCCGTGCTCTTCCAGGCCCCCCACCCGCCCCGTGCCTTCTGCACACCTCTCCACCCCCCCCACCCCCCCACCCCCGTCCCGGGCCACCATCCAGCTGACCTCCCCGGAGGGGGCCTCAGCTGCCTGGGGGAGTCACCGCCTCCAGGCCTCACGGGTACACCCGCAGGTGGATGTCCGCCAACCCCGTCGAACCGCCGGCTCAGGCCGATGCGGTCGCTCCTGTGCACATCCCACCGGCACGCGAGCCGCCCTTCCCGTTTAACCAGCGCGTCCTCTGCTGGGGGTGGGGGCGCTGCTAGCGCATCGAGGGCGTTTCTCCGGAGCACCGTGCCCGCCACCGCACTGTGAACCGCGGCCCTGTCCCTGACCGTCTCCTGTGTGACAGAATATCTAAAGATATTTTGATGTGGGGGCACCTGGGCGGCTCAGTCGGTAGAGCGTCCGACTCTTGGTTGCAGCTCAGGACATGATCTCGTGAGTATGGGCCCAGCATCAAGCTCCTCGATGACGGTACGTATGGAGCCTGCTTGGGCTTCTCTCTCCCTCTCTCTCTGTCCCTTCCACACTCACTCTGTTTCTCAAAACAAATAAACTTCAAAAACAATCAATAAAGATATCTTGATGTTTCAAGAGCCCAGAAAGAATTCGGAGGGGCATCGCGTTGATCTAGAATACTAGGTCAGTAAGGGAGCATTACACTGGGCCTGTCGGGATTAATTTAGGGGTCTTTGAAGAGCCTCAGACCAGTGCACATCTCAAAACAGCTCTTTCTAGCCAAGCCAGTGTGTGTGTGTGTGTGTGTCTATCTATTTGCACACGCGTGTGCAGGGCACAGTGGGTGCCTTCTGCCTCATCACCCAGCCCTGGGGTGGCCTCAGATCACAGGGACGCCTGGGGCTGAGTAAGGAGCTTTGCTTTCTGGTCCCGTCTGTGATGCTGCCCAAGCTCCACCTTCTCCTTGGGGCTCAGATTCCTCGTCTGTCGCCCTTGATGCAACACAGGCCCTGACGCCCCGGGATGTCATTTTGCAATATTCCCCCCCCTCCCGGGCACGAGCCTATCCCGGAGCCCGGATGGCTCAGCGGCACAAGCGGGGCCTCTGGGCTCATGTGCACCTGCTCCGTCTCCACTGTTACGCTGACCAGCTGAGACGGCTTGGAGTCTTTACCCTGTGAAGCCCCAGCAGCCTCCTCAGCCCCACAGAACTGTCGTGACGACTAAGTGACATCACGCCCAGCACAAAGCGCCCAGCGCAGCGGGCCCGGCGTGCGGGAGCTGTTATGGAAGGAATCGCCACCCTATCCTGTCGTGTGCTTCCTGCTGCCTGTGTGCCGGGCACGCCCTGCCCTGGCTGAAGATCTCTGGAGGGAAGCGTTGTCTGGAGAGAGCAGAGAGGGAGGTGTGGGGACCGAGGCAGCAGACTGGCGTCACCTGGCCTATCTGCCCGGATTCCGAGACCCCGGAGCCTTCAGGTGTCCCGCCCCTCTGTTTCTCTTCCCCAAGGGTTCCCCCCCACCCCATGCCCCGCAGCTCTTCCCCCAAAGCCTCCCAGAAAGTCGGAAAGTCGTCCAGGGACACTGACATCACCTCCAACGACCCTTCGTTGGCAACGCCCTCATATTCCCTCCAAATGCCGACGGGAGGGAGGGGGCGGGATCACAATCGCTGCCGTGTGTCCAGCCCTCACGGTGTGCAGGCGAGCCGTAAACGCCCTGCGTGCACAGTATTCCTGAACATTCTCGAGACCGCTGTGAGGAGTCACGCCACCATTACAACTGATTTACAGATGGGGAGGCTGAGATCTGGGGGAGACCCACAGCATCTCCCTTAGCCAGAGGCCCCCAGGTCTGTCTGATTTCACAGTCTCCGCCCTTAGGTAGGGGGGGAGCCCGCTCTTCTCTGTGTCTGCCTCGTCTGTCGGTCCTTCCCCACCCAGATGAGGGGAAAATGGAAAGGGGACCGGAAGAGAGAGAAGGAAGCAGAGGCAGAGGTGCACAGGCAGAATGAGGCCCGCGACCAGGGACAGGCAGCAGCAGGGAGGTGCCTCCGCTCCAAGTGGTTCGCGAGACTCTGGGCTGACAGAGAGACAGAAATGGAGAGGGAGAGGGGGAGAGACAGAAAGGGAGAGATGGAAGGAGAGGAAAGAGAAAGAGAGAAACAGAGAGACGGGGGGGGGAGATAAAGAGCAAGACAGGGAGAGACAGAGAGAAGAGAAATGGAGGAAGAGTTGGAAGAGACAGAGAGAGACAGAAAAACAGAGACGGAGAGAGAGACAGGCAGAGAGAGGAGGAAAAATCTCCTGTGTCCCCCTGGGCCTTCTGGACCCGAGACCCCCTCCTTGAAGGGTTTCCTCTCTCCCGCAAACACGGGCTTCATCTGGGGCTTTGCCCTCAGTCCCTGGCACCCACACCCCACCTCCCACGGCATCACTGGAGAATTCGAAAATTCCTTTAAAGGAGACAGCCAGACTTGGGGCCCCCCGACCCCGAATCGCAGCCTGAATTAAATCCTCAGCTCCTCGGCTGGCCGGGCGCCTTGCTCACCCCGCTAACCTGGCAGACGTGGTTCCCAGCGGTGACGCCGCAGTTTGGGCTGAGCAGGCGACCAGCGTCCTGGGTGGGAGAAGTGCCAGTTCTGACCATCACGACATAGAGCCTGCAAGCCTTATGGGCGCCCCCATCCCTCTATCTCCCGCGCACGCCTTCCCCACGAGCCTCGCGGCGGCCTGCTGCCGTCTCCCACTTGTCCCTGACCTTGCGCACCTGTTCCATATCAGAAAGTCCTTCCCCGCCTGGAAAGCTACTCGCTCTTCACAGCCCAGCTCTAATAGCAGTTCCTCTGTGGATACAAATTATAAAGTAGCGGTGGACTGTGGAAGGATTCTGCAGAGAATGGGGAGCAGACCTGCACCCCATCAGTCCCCCACTTCTCCCGTGATCTCCACCTCTGTTCCCAGGGACTCTCTCAGTAAGAAAAGACAAGACTTACTTAATAGGTTTCCCAGGGCCCACTTAGGGGTCTGGCTTCCTCCAAAGCCCCGGGGCCTCATTAGTGCTCTTCTCCGTGCAGTGTGGTGCCTGAGGACCACGGTGGTCTCAGAAGGCTGGGGGCTGAGGGATGAGTGGGGGGAAGACTTGGGAAATCTGAACTGGGGCATCCCGGGAGAGTCTGAGACTTCTGGGCCAAGGGGACAGAGGCTGCCTCTCTACAGGGATGGAGGTAAACTGGGACGGGGGAGGGAGGGAGTCGCCCAAAGTAGCATGGTGGAAAGTAGAGGGGAAGAAAGCGCCAGCTCTCTCGGCATTTCCCCAAAGTTTGCAATAAGGGGTGGCCAGCAGGCTGCAGATCTCGGAATGGGGTGGCTGGTGTAGTGGATGCGGGTGGGCATCTTCACCACCACCACCACCACCACCAGAAAGTACCCCAAGGTGCTGAGCAACAAAACCCAACGACACAGGCATCTTATGTTCTCACTGCCCGTTTACAGGGAAACTTACAGCATTGCAAAACGTACGGTTTTGTGTCCCACGATTCCCATTTAACATTGACGTACACACGTTTTCCATTTACTACATAGTCTTCTTAACTATTTTAAGCATTAATTTTATTTTTTATTCATTTTTTAAATGTATATATATTTTGAGAGAAACAGAGGGAGCAGGGTAGGGGCAGAGAGAGAGGGCGAGAGAGAGAATCCCAAGCAGGTTCTGTGCGGTCAGCACAGAGCCCAATGGGAGGCGTGATGTCACAAACTGTACGATGATGACCTGAGTCGAAGTCAAAAGTTGGACACTGAACCAACTGAGCCATCTAGGTGCCCCTAATTTTTTTTCAATATATTTTTTTAATGTTTATTCACCCTTGAGAGACCAAGCACAAGCAGAGGAGGGGCAGAGAGAGAGGGACACACAGAATCCGAAGCGGGCTCCAGGCTCTGAGCTGTCAGCACAGAGCCTGACGCGGGGCTCGAACTCATAGACCGTGACATCGTGACCTGAGCTGAAGTTGGACGCTTCACCAACTGAGCCACCAGGTGCCCCTTTTATTATTATTTTTTTCAATCTGAAATACTTGTTTCAGATTTCAAAGGGTGTAAAAAAGAGCCTGTCCCAAGAACCCTGCCTCTAAACTCATCCAGAGGCAACAGCTGTTACCCAGTCCCTGTTTCCCCTTACAGAGAGAGTCTAGGGACATGGGCCAGCGTGCACGTGTGTGTGCTATTTGCGGCTTTGAAGTGACAAAATGTCAGCAGTGTCCCAAACTGTTGCGCATATGCCCTCTCCCGGTGGGCAGATCTTGAAATCATTCGCTATCAGTGTATTTTTAGTGTATTTAACAAACACTTATGTCGTGCTTACTGTCTACCAGACACTGTTCTACGGTGACACAGAAATACTGATCCGTTCAGTCCTCACAAAACCCTACGGTGCGGGTGCCACCGTCACCACTAAGGCCTAGAGAGGTGGAGGGACGTGCCCGCGGCCACATCTCCGGGGCGGGGAGGCAGCACGCGGACGTGGCCAGCGTTTCCGGCTACTCTGCTGTGCGATCTCTGACCATCCTGCGCCACTTCCGAACGATGAACGGTGCCCTCGCTCCCCACCGCCCCACTGCGTAGATGCCGTCATTCATTTAACAAGACCCTGCTGACGGGTACTCGGGTGGTTGCTCGTTGTTGGCCGGTACAACCAAAACTGAGATAAACATCCTGGTCCACGTGGTATGTGGCTTGTGTGCAAGTAATTAGATCGGTGGGTTTGCCCATCTTAAACCGTCTTGGCTGTCGCGCTGGTTACTGACATGGTCTCTCCATCATTAGGACGGCGCTAAGCGCCTCCGCCTGGAATACACACAAGCACCCGCCCCTCCACATCTGCCCGACAGGCTGCTGTCAGATCGTTCGTCACTGATCATGCAGAAATGCGTGGTCTCCCTATCATTTTAATTTGTTCTCCATGAGTGAAGCTGACCCTCTTTTCCCATTTGTAAATGACGTTTGAATTGTTGGCACTCTTCATTCATATTCTTTCCCATTTTTTTCCTATTTGCACTATTTTTG